TAAGCTTTTGGTGGTCCTGTTTTATTGTTTCTTGGGGCCACGTTTCCCGTTTTTTTTTTTTTGCCGCGGAGGTACTCCACGATAGGCTAACTATATATATAATAAAATATATATATACGTATTTATTTATATATATATATATAGAAGATACATAAGGGAAAGGAAAGAGGAAATAAAAGAAGAGCTAATTTCAAAAGGGCAGCTCCCCCGCAACGAGATTCTCGACGTACTAGTAAGATAATCGGTAAAGACACATCCATGTCACTAAATCCCAATGCAGCGCCGTGGAGTGTGCCGGAGTCCGGAGTGGAACCGGGGATGGACGCAAACACGAGGATGGGCCAGCAGGGCTCTCGCTTCCACGGATACCACCTGTCCTATTACACTAACCAACATACGCACCAGATGGTGCCGCAACAGATGTCCCGGCATATTATGGGACCTCCTTTTCCTAACACTAACCACATGCCACCCATGCCGAGCAATGAGCCCGCACAACCCTATAATAATCCGCGACTACGGCCACAGCATTATAACGCCAATGCGGTGCATTCAATGCAACATGTTTCTGTCCCCTCCTATAAAAAGTCAAGACCTGTTGTTGTTGTTGTATTTGGTTACCGGCGCGTAGGCAAAACAAGTGTGGCTAAGCGAATATCAGAAGTTCGCAACTACAAATACATATCGCTCAAATCCAAGGAAGAGGGTGTTGTTGTTTCCCCGACGGACTATGTTGCACCGCTGGCAGATTTGCTTGCGCGCAAAAACACGTTTGAGGGGATTGTTATTGACGATATCGTGGTGCGAAACAAATTTGAACCGTATTACGTCCACTTTCTTTTGCAGAAGCATGGTTTAAAATTTGATGTGGTCGTTGTTCTTGATAATGATTTGGATAACACAAAACTGCGCGGCGTTAACTATGATGACCCACTGCAGCGTCAACTTCACCCTGAGAGCTATGAGTTTTGTGCGAGTTATCTGGAGGGCGAGCCTACATTGGTGGTGGAGTGCAGAGAAAAGACGTTGGATGAGGTAGTTGGCGATGCTCTGAGACAATTGGGAGACGTGAATCCCGCCAAAGAGTCAACCATCTCCTTGAAGGAGGTGGAACTTATGCTGAAGTGCCCCTTGGAAACCGACCCAACGCTGGTCGCAGCTATTCTCGAGGCACAAACTCAGCAATTAAATTTGGATGAGGCGGCCTCATTTCCATTTTCTGAGCCGAATTTTCTGTTAGAGTACGCTGTTTTTGCGCGTCACGCCTACGCCCTTCGCAGTTACATGATCACCCCCTGGATTCAAGGCGATAAGGTCTCTTTGATCGGGTACCAGGGCAAGGTCTACATTCACCTTCCAAGCTACAACATTGTCTTCCGCTTTACCGATGCGCCGGCGGCGCTAACGCAGTTGAATAAAGGAGCTGTGGATAACAATGGGATCGGATTTATTTTTGAGGCGACGTTTGTACGCGACAAAATATACATTTCTGACCTCCTTATGATGGGTGAACAGAAAGGTTCTGATATGCTTGCAGGTGAGCGTGTGGAGTTGTTAAGACTAAAGCTAAAAGACATGGATAGCAGCGGCACGGTAGATCTGCTTCCGTGGTACCCTGTTAAATCCATGGAGGCGTGTGAGTCGGAGAATCCAGAGGCCAGTGGTGTCCTCTTCGTGAATCCAGATGGTGTGTTGTTTGGCAGGTATGACAGTCGGAACTTTCTTTACCCCCTGCAACGGAAGAAGTCCGTTGAGCTTCGCATCTGGAATGGCAACTTTGCCGGTGACACATGGACGTTTGATGCCTTCTGCGAGGAAGTGGAGAGTGAGAAAGTTATTGAGGGGGTCCCTGTGCACGTGCCCGACACGGAGGTCACCACTCACTGCATCAACGACGGAAATATTTTGGAGTGTGTTCGCCAGGACTACCACCACGCAGGGCCAAATAAAACACGGAGAGGGGCCAAGCGCTTTGTATTCCAGGGGCGCTGCCAGTGGAAGGTTCAACCGACAACCATGTACAGGCAGGAGGTATTTGTGAGCGATGCCAAGTGGCCATTTGAACGGATGTCTCAAGCCTGCATGTCAATAAAGCACGTTCCTGCCGTACGTCCAGAGGAACCCGCAACCGCCGACAGGTAGAGTGGCGAGCCTCCTCCTACCCACCCCTCCCCTCCGCCTAGGAAAGAGGAAGCCAACGGTGCAAACACGAAAAGAAAAATGAAACAAAAAGCAAAAAAAAAAACAAAGAGATAAACAACGAAAATCATATTTGCTTTTCTGCCCTGGTGCCGGTATTGTCGTCGTTGCTGGTGTTGTTTCTTTTTCTTCTCCCTGTTGCGCGCTGCTGTCGTGATTGCACCCCCCCCCCCCCCCTCCCCCCCTCGCTTTCAGCTTTTTGTGCACGCCGCGCCCCCGGATTCCCGGAATAGTGGGCTCTTATTTAAAGGAATATATTTATCTTTTCCTTATTCTTTCTTCCCCTTTGCCTCCTCGCGCAATGTATTGTTGGCCCCGCTGAAGCTTTAAAGCGGGGAATAAACTTCCGCACTTCGAGGATACGCCCCAAACCCCACGAAACGCATTTTCCGGCGCACCCCAAGCAACGCGCAAGCATAAGAGAACACGCTGAGAGAAATATATACGAAACAATAAAAATAAATAAATAACGAAACCCAATGGGGCTATTTTGGCGAGCTCTGTGCCTATTGCTCCTTTTGCTGTGCTCCACGCACTGCAGCTCCGCAGAGGAGCGTGGACAGCCGGTGGGAGGTCGCCCACTGAATGCCCCGGGCCTGGAGCTAAAGCTGCCAACGAGGGAGGATCTGGAAGGGGCCGCGGCCGCAGCCCGGTCACTGGCAGAGAACGCGGGGGAGAAGGTCAAAGAGGCTGCCGATAAGGCCACTACGGAGGCGAAATCTCGCACCCATTCGCCCGACAGCGCCCCGGCGGCCCTCGCGTTGTTTTCGAGCCCATTGCAGCTCGCGGCCGCGCTCGCCCTCGCCCTCACCATTACCGTTTGAACCGAACCCCCCACCGCCGCCACCATCTGTTTGGCTCCTTTTTTTTTATCTTTTTTTTTATGTATACGCGGGTTGTTCCCTTTTCGTTTCGGCAGTACGAGACGAAGGGGCCCGCCGTGGACGCGGCGCGGGGCGCCCGTGGCGAAGTGGCGCGACCAGGGAGCGGGCGTTTTTTTTTTATTTATATATATACAAATATGCCTTTTTTTTTTTGTGCGGCCCATGTGTGATCTCGGGTCCGTGTGCAGCTGCTTCGGCTAGCAAGGCGCGGGCCCATGCCGCGGCATGTGCGAGAATAAACGGTTTGAGGAAATCCAGGAACCCACCCCTGTCGCGCATCGAGCGGCGCGGGGGCGGGGGTGCGGGAAGGAAGGGGGAAAGCCCCAAAGGAAGGCTCTGCTGCTTTTACCCCTCGCTTTTTCTTCGTTTTCTTATCGGATTCGCCTCCGCGCTCGGCGCGCCCCTGCCCCTCCCCCCGCGCCGGGCCCTCCTTGCGGGAGGGGGCTTGAGCGCGCTTACCATTCAGAAAAATGCAGAGAACAATAGGGAGAGAAGAAAGGGCGCGCGCAGCTTGAGAGAGAGATGGAGGGGCGAGGGTAGCGAGAAGAGGGTAAAAAACACACATACGCAACCCATGCGGGGGGCAGAAAAACTATAACAAGCTTAAAAGAAGACGCGGCCTCGGCGTGGCGTTCTTCGCCCACCCACCGCCCGCCCGCCCGCCCACAGTAAAAGATGCAACCAGGAAGAAGAATTAAGACGGGTCCAGGTAGCAGAAAAGGCGGGAGAGGAAAGCAAGGCGCCGGGTGGTGCGGAATGGCGCGCGCGGCATTTTACTTACAGCCCGCGCGGCGCCCCACGCCTTCATGGCCGCGCCCCCAAACCGGCCACTCCTTCGGGTTTTCGGTGGCGCCCGCGGGCCGAGGCACCGCGCCAGCGCTATGAGGGCGCGCCTCCCGCTCGCGAAGGCGCCTCGGCCAACGCCACCTCCTCTGCCCATGCCAGGCCCACGGTGACAGAGTCCTCCGTCTCGCTCGTCGTTGCCTCTGGCGCGGCGAACGCGGCGTCACTGATGGCGCCGCCCGGGGCTGCCGTCCCCTGGCCGGGGCTCGCCCCGGGCCACTCCTCCGAAGTGTGGGCGCCCGCTCGCTTGCCTCCTCCATGCGGGCCCCCCCGGTTGGTGGAGGAAGGCGCAGCGAGAGCGAACGAGGAGGGGCCCTGGGAGTCCGGCCGCGAAACGTAGTTGATAGTAGGGCGGTGGCGTATCCCCTCTTTGCTCCCCGGCACCGCGGCTGCAAAGCCCTCGCCCGTGATGGGCCGCTCAATGCCCCGAATCCGCCCCTGCAGCTGCTCATTTGTTAAGAATAATTCAATAGCGTGCCGCAGTGCCCCGCATGAATCCGTAAGGGGTAATCTTTTGGCCAAAGTTTGCCAAGCTTCCGCCATCAGCGCGCTAAGCGGCGTGTGCTGAAAGCCGTCGCCCACGCAAAGCCCCACACATTCCGAAAGAAAACCTGGCCTGCGTGAGTTTTCTGTTGCCAGGACGTGTTGTAACAAAAGATTGCCGGCCTCTGCTTTAGCACCCGAAAAGATCGATAGAAGGGACCGCTGCAGCAGCATTGAAAGGCTGTGGCAGTGTGGGTGTTGGGTGCTGACTGCTAGCAAGCTTCCTAAGAAGTCGGACTCTGCAATGATGCGGTCCGTATCGCGCAGCCGAAAGCAAAGAACTTCCGCAAACAGCGCGCACAGCGCAATTCGCACGGAATCCAAACGAGATGAAGCTGCTGCCCCACCCAAAGGTATTAGGTCACAAAACCGCCTAAAGTACACGGCCAAAAGCTTGATAGGGGCGATCGCCATGGCATTCATGGAGTACATTTGGCAGACTTCAGCGGGGACAAGGGAGGTTCGCACCAGGGCTACGATGCCGTGGTACACCTCCACACCCTGGGCGGCAAGTGGAACAGCCCCTGGAATTGCCCTGGATTCCTCGCAGCCCTGGAGGATGTCTTTTACGTACGCAGACAACAATTCATACTTCATAAGTTCATCCACGACGGGCCCCGCAGTCTGGTTGTAGCCGCGTTTGACCAGTTCCTTCCAGAAACTAAAGTACGGCTGGCAACTTTCGGTGCGCAGCGCGACCGCCATATATGCAGCAAGGTGCTCCGCTAAACGCAATCGAACACAGGCCTCAACAAACACCGGTGACGCCGTAGAAAAAGGAACGCGACCTGTGTCCCGCCGGGTCGTTTCAAACAAGGCTGCAACGGTTTCACACACAACATAATTCGTGGAAATGTGGCGAATGATGTTGATAAGCAACTCCTCGTCCAAGACTGCGGCGATGGCGGCCGTTGCGTTTTCAGGATCCACGTCGAAGGCTTTCAAAATGATGCGCTGGAAACACCGAGCGGCCAGCGGCGGCAGCGGCGCTGTAGTCCCAAGGGCACGGATCGCCGCCGCCACCACGCGCCTAATAAACAACTCCGCGTCCTCAAAAGCATCCAAATAAAATGTGATCAGCTCTGTGGCATTCTCGCTAAAAAGCGTCTGCTTCTGGGCCCGGGTTTCCCCTTGTTGGGAGCGGTTCCTTGAGGACTCTCCCCCTCCGGCTGAAAAGCCAGCCCCCTTGCCGCAAGAGGGCTGTAGTGCTGCTTGGACGAGTTCCTGGCCGCAGCGCTCCACGAATGCTTTGAGCGACGCCAAGCCTCTTCCATTCCCACGCTGCGACTGAAGGTGCAACGATAAATCCTCGCGTGCGACAACCTCGCCCACCGTAGTTGAGCTCGAGAAACCAAATCCCCCAACGATGTTGACGCCCAAACCAAAGAGAGCGTTAAACATCTTGGTTTCTCTTCTTCTTCTTTGTATGTATGCGTGTGTGCGTGCAAGGCAAAAAAAAATGCAGAGACATTACGTGCAAAGGGCCAAAACGCCTGCATACGTGGGTGGGTTTGCCTTGCGCGCCCGGCGCAAGCAGTTGAACGCCCCCAGCGGGCATAAGCGGTATAAAGACAACAAGAATAACAAACAATGACAATGATGCCAACGCCTCACCAAAGCCGCACCCCCCCCCCCCCAAAAAAAAAAATAAATAAATAAATAATAATAAAAATAAAAATAGTAAAGGAGCAGCCACGCGCAGGCGCGCTCCGATAGACTACCACCACCCCCTTTGCACAGCTGTTGCTCGTGGCGCGACACCCGCGCGGCCTCCGCCAGGCATTTTATGGAAAAACTCGGGCGTCGAGGCCGCAAGAAAAGAACCGTGAAGAGGCTCCAGATTCGACACGGAGCAGCTGTCGTTCAGCGTTGGATAGTCGCGCGGTGCCCGGGACGCCTCCCATGGAGTACGAGGGTTTGCAGCAGCGGTAACCCACCCCCGCGACCACCCCTGAGGAGAGGGAGAGAAAAGACCTCGATGCCAGGGTTGGTGCGCATCCGCGCTGGCGCTGTGATGGGCAACAACATCACCAACGGAGTTTCTGAAGCACGGTGGGGCAGCTCCCTGCGCCGAAACCGAGCCGTTATAGAAGCATCGTGGCGGGGGATGAAACTCGCGCATAAATGTGGGCTGCCGCTGCGTCAGAAGATGGGAAGGCCCCCCAAAAGGACCATGTGCACCAGCAGGCGCCCCAGCCGTGAGCCCCACAAACCGCCCACAGCTCCCCATAACTCGAAAGGGGGGTTCCTGAAGCCGTTCTTGTGGTGCGGAGAACTGCACAGCAACGCGAAATCGCGCGGATGGGTGTGAGTAGGTGGCGGCGGCGGCGGCGCCGCGCGAAACTGCAGGGGAATCTGGAGAATCAGCTTTGGGAAGCGCCACGGAAACCCCATGAGGAAGTGAAGCAGAAGAGGCCCCCTCCTGCGCACCTGCGAATGAGCTCTGCAGAGGTCGAAAAGAGGCACTTGGGCTCGTGCTGGTTTCCTGACGAAGTCGTTTGCAAGGCAAGACGGGGGAATTGTTGTTAAACTTCAACTGGGAGGCAATGCAACTTGTACGCATCACCAAATGTCTGTAGTCGTCATCTACCTCTGTTACGGCGGTATCTACACCACCGCGTGGATGAGCCCGTTCAGCGGCCTCGGTGCTTCTGCCCTCGTTCACGGCGCCGGCGTCGCGAGAGGAGGACCTCTCTGGAGTGGACCCGCTGACGAGAGGCCGTTGCTCCAACAAAACTGTATCCGTTGATGAACCCATTGCATTCGCAGCGCTGGCATCATGCCTCCGCGGGGAAATCCGCGCCGCATGCATTGCACTGCTGGGAGAAGAACCTTCCACCCAACGAAGGTCACGGAGAAGCGCATTGAACGCATTAGACGGCAGAATCCCACTTGTCCTCTGCTGGGTCCGCGCCGCAGCCTCGTCAACGGAATTCTCGTGTCCCTCCGCCCTGGTGCGCTCGCCCAGGTTAAGAACTGCTTGGGCATCACCCCCAAGCATGTGCTGCTCTGTAAAAAGTTGGCCCACAACACAACCTTGGCAACCGCGCGGTACCTGAAAGGTGAATGTTATTTGCCCCTCCTTGGCGTCAGAGGGGCAGAATTGCCGAAGGAGCAGGATTGCGTCCGTTGCGGTGTGACCCACAATGACAACCATGCGATGATACTTGACGTGACTGCCGCGTGCCCTGCAGGGCTGAGGCGCCAGGGTGACAACTGCCCTGATGGCCTCAGAACTCCCACAGAGCTCAAGCGAGAGCCCACACTTCGGTATCGCCCGACACAAATCCTGCAATTCACTGCCAAAGGGAATGCTCTTGCCACAGAGGCTCTCCAACTTTCGGGGATCAGACGCTAAGACATCGGTGACGCCTCCGATACCGCCCTGCAGGAGCGCCTTGGCGACACTCTCACTGACGCCCTCCAACTGCCTCAAAACAGGCCCATCCCACCACATCCTTTGCTCCATGCAGCGCAAGAGAAGGGAGCTTTCCTTCATAAAGGAGTAGGAGTTCATTGTCCCGGCATAGTCAACGAGAAAGCGAGCTAATCGCGGAACCGTTGTCCAAAGCCGAACAGAATCGTTTCGCAGGGAAAAATCGCTGATCGGTGTGTGCGCCAGTTGGGCCTGGAGGAGCACGTATACCTTATGCCAGTCCTCACGCACCTCCCTTCCTCCTCGAATGCCAGACTTCAACGGGAAGCGGATGTCCCTATTCAGCTCGTTCAAATGCCTCCGATCCCCTTGACGAAGACGCAGCTCCTTAAACTCCGCGAATCGGCTCAGAATACCAAGAATTTGTGGCAATGTGAATACAACGGGAGCAACTTCCAACTTTTCCAGCGTCTTACCCTCTTGGGTGGGTTTTAACGCGTCCTCTCCGGCGGCCCCCGCCAAGGCGTTTAACTGCGAGCGGGCACGCGCCGTCTCTCCGTTGAGTAGCTCTACCGTCTTTAGCAAAACATATCGCCTCGCCATGGCCCGCCCAACACGTGTGCTCTCCACTACTCCAGTCATGTTTTCCATGTGAACGCCATCGCGCCCACCGTGAACCCCGCCACTCGCTAGACCACTTCTTTCTTCACCAGAAGCATCTTCATAACGCATGGAAACGCACCTTTGATGTTTCAATTCTGTGAGCATGCGTCGCATGAGCTTAGCTGCGAACTCCTCGCGGTCAAAAGAAGATTCCTCCTCCTTTGTGGAAAAGAGGATGCCATAATGTCGCGGACAGTGTCTTAAACGAATCCACAAAAACGTCGTCTTAATCCATTCGACGCCAAGGGCAAAACTGTGAATAGTGCGCAGGGCCACCTCCGCGTTCACGTGCTCAATCATCCTCTGATGTAGCTGGCTTTCAACTGTTGAACAGGAGTCACCATGTCGCAGCGGCTCATAAAGGGTGGCTTTAGCTTCTGTTGTGAGAACGAGTGCAATGCCGTGGGTGTCAAGGCCGGGACGCCCCGCCCGCCCACTCATCTGTGCGACCTCCGAGAGCGGCAGGTCCTCACGACGACCACTCTTAAAGAATGTCGTGCCTTTGATGATCACAAGGTGGGCGGGAAGGTTGACGCCGAGAGCCAGCGTCGTGGTTGTGCAAATCACAGAGATGTAATGCTCTCGAAACATACGCTCCACGAGAACGCGATCATGCATCAACATTGCTGCATGGTGGTAGGCAATCCCAAGCAAGAGGAGTCCCCGCAACTGCTTGTCAGTCGCTGATGACGCCAACCGTTCCACTTCTTCAGTTGGCCGCAGACGATCCTCCGCATCCTCTCGTGAGGCCGCCTCCTTCACCTCCGCCACGATCCTCAAGGAGGAATTAATCGCCTCCTTGCGCGAGGCACAAAACACAATAGTCGGCCTGCCTGCACTGAACTGGCGTATAAGGCCAAACAACTTGAAGGAAAGAAAGCGATCAAACGCAAAGGGGTTGTTTGAGGTGCTGGGATATGACACAATCCGTAATGTCAGCGGCACCGGTCGATCCGCAGAGGTAAATGAGAAAACGCCACTGGGCTCCACCTGCAGCCACTCAGCAAAGTCCGCAATATTCGGCAGGGTTCCACTGATAGCTACAAACCGGGTGGAGAAGAAGTGGGGTCCACGACTAGACATACACGCCTTTATGGCCTTCATACGACTTACAATAGCCTCCAGAGCGGCGCCTCTTTCCTCACTCACAGTGTGTACTTCGTCAAGTAGAAGCAGGGCAACAGATGCCATCAAACTCCAAACGACCCCCTCCTTCCACCGCCGTGTAATACTGTCCCATCGCTCTGGTGTTGTGATGATAATATCCGCGTCGGGAACTTCAAGTAATCTGCCCTCTTCTCCTCGTGACAGCTCCTGATCTCCTGTTTCAAGCGCCACTGAAAGAGTTGGAAACTTTTCCTGCCATAGCCCATACTTTTCGCTGGCAAGGGCCTTGATAGGGCATACGTACACCGCCTTTCCCTTCGATGCCGTCCCGCGACCAGATTCGCTAGCAGCTCTTCCTGTGTGGAGGCAAAGGTGAGGCTGGAAGAGACGCAGCATCGCCACCTCCAACAGGGCAGTCTTACCACTGCCGGTCGGTGCAGCCACGACGACGTTGCCGTCGCCCTGGAGCAGCGTCGGGATGACGGTCTCCTGCACACGGGTGAAGGTGGGGTAGGGTAGGTACGAGACGAGAGGCCCAAGACACTCGCGCGCGGTCGACATCGGAAGAAAACACCTCCTTCCTTCCTTCCTATCCCCTCTTCCTTCTTACTCCACGTCCTGCACTCAATTGTGCACCATTCGTGAGTGCACGCATGTCAAGCGCGGAGGAAAAAAAAGGCACCGGCATTTTTTTTAAAAAAAAAAAGACAAAGAAAATGAGGGCCATCTTCCGCATAGTCATGAACCCTCCGCCCCCTCTCATTCAAGGCAGTGAGTGGCCACAGCCCCCACATGCTGGGGGGAGGCTCGGCTCTTTTAAGGCAAACAATACAGGCGTAAAGAGACGCAGAACCAACAACCACTACAACAACCACTACTAATATATATATATATATATATATAACTACCCCACACTCCTACACGCGCATGCCACGCACAGGGCCGATGGTACCAGGCCCATTTGTATATCCGGGCCGCTACCACCAGCAGTGCTGCCTTGAGCCGTATCGCTTCCCCAATCACCTTTTATGCGGCACTTGGAAAAAACACCACACGACACCCCCGGACTTCGTCAAATGGGTGCGCCCCATTAAACAAGGTCATTATTGAACCCCTAAGAAACCTCGATACCCTCAGGCGAGGGTAAACTCCAGCAAAACACAGACCCCCAAGAACAGCAATCCCACATTCATCTAAAGCACCGCGCGCTGAATCAGCAACGGACGGTGTGGCGGGGTCATCAACGAGCAGAGCATCTGTGCCAATCAGCAGCAGCGAGGGGTACAATTCAGCAAGATACCGCACCGTTGCCGCCTCCATATACGCAAACCCATTTGCCAAAGTGTCTTCATCCCGGTTGGGGAGATGGCCTGTAACAAGTAAGAGACGCCAAACAGGCGATAGGGCGGCACCAGGAACAATAGCCGCCTCCATGATACGCCGCGTGATAGGCAGGGGTGGACGCGCGCAGACACCCTCAGCGTCTGCTTCTAATAAATCGCTGATATCAACTATCACTGCATCACCGGTATAGTGCGCGGCATCAAAAAATTCAGTGGCGCCGTTGCGAAGAAACGTGAAAGGGGTGTCACCGTGTGACACTAACTGAGAGTTGGAAGCGGTAAGGGTGCTGTCACCGAGCTGAGATGAGGCCAGCACAAGGCGTGAATAATTCATGTACCTTATTACGTCATCCACCAACAACTGACGCCACCGAACAAAGCGCACGTACGCAACGATTAGCACCGTCCCCAGAAGCACGCGAAGAGGTGAGAAACGCTTTAGCACACCCGTCGTTCGACGCGACAGCTGGCTCAGTGTCCAGGCAACCCCGAAAATAAAACTCACAAGCGATGTTACCGCCAATGAGGGGAGGCGCAGGCGGTTGGTAAGAGCACTCCAGTTTCCCAGCAGAAAGGAGGGGAGAACGCCTGGAACCGTCACCCGTGCCGCACTGGAGCGCACTGAGAGGTCAACACTACTATGCAGCCTCAACGCCACAGCACCAGCAGCGCTGTGGCGCCATTCCGCGAGTTTGCGCTTTGCCTCGCTCGTCATCGCATCGAAAACAGAGCGGCCCACAACTGGTACTTAAAGCTATTTAGGCAGACACGACAGCGTAACAAAGCGGGAGGGAAAAACCAGTAATGATACCATCAACACGTGGCACCCGCGTCAGGCGCGGCAACCCCGCAAGCATGACCTCGGAGAATAGTAATAATAATAAACCACCCGCTCCGCAAACACATACACGTTGCCTTCCGCGGACAGACACGAGGTTTTGTTGCTTGTCTGTTCGGGCGCAATCCATCCAAACCCGAAAGAGAATCGGGGATGGGTGAAGCGAGAATTTCAACATAAATATCCCCACCACAGGCCAACCTGGCGAAGCTGGGCGGCGTGGCTACCTTGGTTGCACACGCCAACTTTCCTCCTTAGGCTCGCGGTCACAGACCAGCATTAAACCACGTTCCTCGCACCACCACATCTGCTTCCCCAACAGAGTGCGGCACCACGCCCCCTAACTCCCAGCGCACTTGTCGCCCATCCGTGGGACCTCCACACTTTTATTCCATCAATTGCAGTGCCAGTGGCCACATCCCACATCCTCACCGAGAGATGGGTTGCCGCTGCTGATGTGTGTGTGTGTGTGTGTGTGCGTAGCAAAAAATTGACGCCTCCGCCTTGACTGCAGCCCGACAACGTCCAAAAAAAAAATATGTTGTGCACACGGAGTTCCAACACCTACATGCGCACGTGCAAAAAACTGCACGGCCGGCAAAGAAGGCGGTCAGCAAACACCCACACTCTCGCTGTGCGCATAGAAACGCAAACAACGTTAGCAGAGTCTATAACGCGCCCCACTCATTTTAATACCCTGTGCAATCTTGCAACGCCGCACCAACCGTGCAACGACGGAAGTAACTCTTCACCTCACAGCACACATCCCCAAGAAGAATCCTTGGCACAGGCACACTGATCCCCACCTAAACAACCCAAAGAAAAACATGCAGTAAAACCTGCCACTGCAGCACCAAAGCCATCGTCAGCGTGCGTTCATTTTCCATATATGAAAAGCAATAGAAATAAAAG